GCCGAACCCTAAGATCCACCTCAGCACCTCCAGTCTCTACCTCACCAGTGCTGGGTCACAGGTGGGCACCACCATACGCGGCTTTTTAACATGGGTGCTGGGGCTTAAACTCAGGCCCCTCTCTGACTGAGTCAGCCCCTCAGCCTCATGGGAGACTCCTCCCCTCTCTCCTTTGAGACAGGGTTTCTCTTATAGCCCTAGCTGTCCAGAAGCTCGTTCTGTAAACCTGGCTGGCCTCAAACTCAGAGATCTGCCTGCCTCTGCCTCCTGAGTGCTGGGATCAAAGTTGTTTGCTACCATGGTAAGGGGAGAGATTTTCATACAGGTTGTAGGGGCTGCTCAGAGTTGAAACTGGGTGATATTGGAGAGTTCTCTATTCCAGGAGTGAATGAGTGAGTTCAGGGGTGATCACAGAGGTACCTATGTTACAAGGGACTAAAGCAATATTTGATTATTACTCATTTTTTCATCCCCCCTTCCTCTCCAGGGATAGTCTTACAGGCCTGTACCTCCGCATCCAGCTTTCATGGGAACTAGGGACTGAGCTCAGGAACTTGCGGTTTTGCGGCAAGCACTTTACCCCCTGATCTCTCTCTCTCCAACTTTAAGGAACCTAGAAGATGCTTCAAGGTGCTATCCTTGTACCTGAGGGTCTCTGAACCTACTATTCTGTCTGAAAAGAAACAAGTAAAGGTGGAGAGAGGGGTCCTACAGCAAGAGGAACAGGAGGTGGGATGGGACAGTTCAGGGTCAAATCATCTAGCTGTGGCTGAGAACTCCAGAAATAGTCCATGAGTCAGAAGCAGCCCTCCCCATTCCCCCAGTGCTTCAAGTTCTAACCCACTTGTCCATTCCCCAGCTAGAGCTCAGCTCACCATCCTGGTTCCGGTCAAGGCTGTGAAACATGAGCAGAAGGCGCTGCTCCCGTTCCTGCAGGTAGTGAGTGAACTCCTCCAGGCTGAGGCCACCTTCTGGATCAGCATCCCAGTCAGAAGAGATGCCCTGGCAGAGAAAAAAGGGGACACAGGAGACTCCAGCAGACTTTACCCCCACAGGGTGTGTGTGAGAAAGACAGCTAGAATATGGCCCGTGCCTCAGGAACTCAGAGCCTCAGTTCCTCATGAAAGGGAGCAGGAGGCTTCACCTCTGTAGTCTGTCAGCCCACTTTGCAGTAAGATGCCCCAGGTCACAGTAACAATCTGCTTGCTGTCTCAGTCAGTAGGCTGGTAGGCAGACTGAGGACTCTACAGAGTCACAGAGGCACAGACGCAGTTCAAGGTCATCAAACTGGGAAGTGGCAACCTGGGGGCACTTTTTGTCATTTTGAGACACCTGTCTCATGTAGCCCAGGCTAGCCTCAAATTCTCTGTACTGGAGGAGAGCTTGAACTCTGGTTTTCTTTCATTACCTTGTCTCCCAAACCTGCCCGGCAGCTTTTTCTTATAAAATCCTGTCTCCTTGGCAGTCTTGTTGGGGAGTATATGTGTGGGGATTGTCCTGTTAGAAACAGTCCTGATTCATATAAGGCCCAACAGCCATGGGATACTCCTATCCAAAAGTTGGGCCTTAGACTCAAGGTCAACAAAAATGCAATAGGTCTGTTTTAGGGAAGGCTAGGGGCTCCATGTGAGAGACACCTGTCACTCGGACAGTTTTTGCTGCTCCCCACTGCCATCTCCCAGGCTGGGGCTGGAACCTAGGGCCATTGCACATGCTAAGAAAACGCTTTACCGCTAAACTTCACCCCCACCTCAAATTCCTTCCCAGACAAGTCAGACCCCAGTAGAGGTAGAGTGGCTTCAGATGGACTGAATCCCTAGCTGGAGCAGCCTGGGGCAACTGGCCAGGTCCAGAAAAGCGCTAGTGTAAATGAGAGACTAGGAGAGCTGGCTAGGGGCTCAGTGTGTGCTCCAGCAGGATGGTGAAGTTGTGTTAACTGCAGGTGGGAGTGGATCACCCCTGGGATTGAGCACAGAGCAGCGGAGGGGCTGGCTCTGGGCAGTGAAGGGGAAAGCGTCCCGCTCTACAGTCCATCCCCCAGTAGGCATCTCACAGCCCAGGGTGGGGGGAGGGGGAAGGGCCGCTGGGTCCTGGCAGCCGCAGCCGCTGCAGGCCCGGAGCCTTGGCAGCCTTGTCTTGCGTCGACGTCAGGCCAGACGCGGGTGGACAGAGGAAAGGGAGCCTAGATAGAGGTGGTAGGGTCCAGCCAACAGGTAGCATGTGGCTGCTGCAGCCACATTAAGGGGCACCGGTTACGGCGCGGCCCGACCCTGCCTCGGTGGTCGCTGCCCATAGTACCTGCTGTGCACGGTCCGGATCGCCCCTTCCCAGCCTGGCCAGACCCTGGCGCAACTCGTGCACGTCCACGCGGCCGTCCTTGTTGCTGTCTAGTTCCTCGAACAGACGACCCCAGCGCTGCCGCCGCTCCGCGTCGCCTGAGCCCCCCCGCATGGCGCCCGCCCAGGGGGGAGGGGAGGCCCCGCAGCAACGGCCTCGGCGGGGGCTTTCCGGCTCCCCCTCCCCCCCGGGGTCCCCACAGGGCCAGCTCCTGCGCCCACCCGCACCGCAGCCTCTTCGCTGCGGGGCCGAGCTCCGGCACTTGCTGGAAGTGATAAATGCTAGTCGTCCCCGCCCGCGCCAGAACTTGCGTCTCCTCCTCCGACCCGCATTACTTGGGGGAGGGGGTTGGGGGCGGAGAAGGGGGCGTGGGGAAGCATTCAAGGAGGCTCTGATTTTGCACATCTGACAGCGCATTCCTGGGACCGTAGGAGAGGCATCCGTCTTAGTACTCTGCTTGCCTCAGTTTACCCTTTTCCCTTAAATGGTTTTGGTAGGGAATTGTCAGGAATTAGATTTCGTAATCTCGTTCATTTACACCTCCCTCTCCTATGGAACCCTCATCAGAAATTCAAGTTTTTGCTTTTCCCAGGACTACGCAAGAATTCTGAACCAGTTTAAAAGCTTCTTTTGTCCGCCTGCTCTAGTCAGATTCCCTAGTCGATGACAGAAACAGGAGATCAACAAAGAGAGGTGGGCTCCCTCCCCAACACTTCATTCCGCCCGCGCGCCTCCTTTTCTTGGTGACACTCAGAGAGAGAAACGCAAGGTCAATGAGCGGCGCGGCTGCAAAGTTAAATCCCTATTGGTCAGATGCTCCAGAGCTGCGCCAGTCCGCTCTACATAGGCGGGGCTTCCCGGTTGACCCGCCGCACCTCCAGTCCCGCAGCCCGCAGCCCGCTAGGCGTTCTTAAAGGGGCCGCACCTCCACTCGGACTCTCAGAAGGCTGCCCTTTGCAGACCAGCCTGTCTGGGACCAGTTTCTCCGGCGCCACTAAGGATAAAGATCAGAAGGAGGAGGCGCTCTGGAGGCGGGGCCTCAGCCGTGTGGTTGCACCTGCTGAAGTCCCTCCCACAAGTTTCGGGTGCAGTTTCTCGTCTCACCGTCAGGGGGAAGGGCGTCCCTTTGACCGCGAATAATAATAGCTAACATTGAGTGCGTTGCGCATGCCAGAGCCCTTCATTCGCTACTCAACATCGAACCTGTTCAGATCCTGTGAGGTAGGTAGATGGCTCTAGCTTTTCCCACGGTACAGTGGAGAAAGCAAAAGCTAAAAATCCATTCCCATTTAGGGCCAGAGCAGAGATTTAAACAGATTTTAAATCACTCCTAGGAAGAGATGATGCCTCTTTTATTTATTCTTAGTTTTTTTCTTTTTTCTTTTTTAAAGACACAGTCTCTCTATGTAGCCATGGAAGTCACTATGTAGACCGGGCTGCTCTGGAACTCACAGAGTCCACTTGTTTTTGCTGGGATCGAAGGCATATGCGACTACAATGGATGTTGTAGGGCTTTGTATGTGCTAGACAATCTAGCCACTGAACTCCAGCTTCGGCTCTATGACTATTTGTTGTCGTTATTGTTCTTTTGAATTAAGTTCTCTGTAGCTTCACTGGCCTTGAACGTGCAGCTTTACCTGCTTCAGACTCCCAGTTACTGGGACGGTGCCATCATATCCGGTTCATGGCCACCTTTTACCCAGCTACATCCAGAGGTCAAGGATCCGTTCACCCAGGCTGTGCCCATACATGTGTGGTGAACAGGTGAAAGTCTCACCCCACCCTCTACCAGATGTTTTCAGGCATAAGTGTTTCTTTGTGGATGCCATGGGACATCGCTGCTTCTGCGCAAAGACGCCCCGAATCCATGCTTTCTCCCAGACACTTTCCTGACAGGTGGACATCATACGGATACTCTTTAGTGTGGACATAAGGTCTTCCATTAAGCTGGGCTAGATTCTGCACAGGTGCTTAGTCCAGGTATCGTTTTTTACTGCACGGGTTTAATTCTAAGCAGGTGTTCTGATTACACTCTGACTACAAGCCCACATGCCTATCTTTCTACAAAACTAGTCCTGTATAGGTTGGTTGATTGAGTAGGGGATGAAGATGGAACCCAGGGTCTCAGGCATGCTAAGCAGGAATTCATGACTGAGTAAGGGGCGATCCCGTCACTAAGACACTCTTGGCAGGCGAGCTTCACTAGGTGATTCTAGGCAGGGGGTTCTGGCCCTGAGCCACGCTCCTAGCCGCTTTACTTTTTGATACAGGGTTTGCTCAGGCTGGCCTTGAACTTGGGATCCTCCCATCTCCAGAATACACCTAGGATACAGGTGAGCATTACCAGGTCTGACTTCTTCAATGTTATCCATTGAAGCCCTCCCTTTACAGGTGTGTATCTTCCTGGAATGTCGCCACGCCCCCCCGCGTCTGCACACCTGTGCTACAGAGGGACCCCAGCTATGCCGTCCTTACACCTGCTCGCTTCCGCTCTCCTAGCAGCTCCCTGTCGCCGCGCGGTTCCAGTTACAGGTGCTCTGGTGGCGCGGCCCCGCCCTCTTCGCCCCGCCCCTCTCAGCCAGGCTCAGGTGCACAAGCCGGAAGTGCGCTCTTTGCCTAGGTGGGTGACTAAACTTTCCGGGTCACGTGAGCGGGCGGGGCGGGTGGGATCTGGAGCGACTGGGTGAAGGACAGCGACTCGGGGTTCCAGCTGGGAATTCGGGATTGGGAACCTGAGCGAAATCCCTCTCAGACGCCTGGGTCAGGTAGGGAAGCAGGGCGCGCAGCCTGTCCTGTCCCCACCTCCTCCTTCCCTTTCCCTGGCCCAAGAACGCGGTCGGGGAGTTAATCTTTAATCTCTGACCCTTGTCGCCGAGGGCGGGGAGCGCACTCCAAGATTTGGTTGCCTGTCGCTGGGGCCCGAGCCTGAGTCTAGCCCCTCACTCTATGCTGCGCCCTCTCCCCTTGGTCTGGTCCCCAGGTCCTGGGTCGTAGGTGCCCTCCTCGATCCAAGATGCGGTAGGAATTGGCGCCCTGGGGAAGTCCTGTCCTTGGCGTCACCAACTCGTCGCCCAAGCTCATGGCGACCCCAGGCCTGGGGCTGCTCTTGGCGTTTGGCTTGCCGATGCTGCCCTCCGGCTGGAGCTTAACAAGTAGGTATCGTCCGGGGCGGTGTTCGGGTGGGAGGAGGGTTCCCAGGTTGAAGTCAGAAGTGCCGGGCACTCGCGACCCAGAGAGGGCGAAAGGTCTGAGGAATGAGCTTGGAATGTGTTTGGAGACCGAGTTTGAAAGCTTCAGGGCTGAGCTTCAAATCAGGTTAACAGACTTCCAAACTTTTTATTTTTATTTCATTTTTTTTAAACGTTGCTGGGGCTCGAACCTACGTTTTCCTGCACACTAGGCAAGCGGTCTACCGTAAAGTAAACCCGTACCTGCATCCCAGAATTCCTGCGTCCTTAAGTCTTGTGGAATTTAGGAGAGCCCGAAGGTGGAGGAGGGGAGGGCCTGGGCACCTGAGTCTGCATAGTTGAGAGTCTTAAGCTACCAGGGGGACCTGGAGGAGGCCTAAAGGCCCAGCTGCCAGGGCTGGCCCTTCGTAGGTGTGGACCCAGCCAGACCTTCCCTCAGTCTCTCTGGTTCCAGTTTCGGGAGCCTGGGGGTGGGGGGGCCTTGTGAGTCACACACTCCAGGGAAAGGTTGAGCCCCGCCCAGGTCCTTAAGGGTTCTGGGCCAGAGTGATGGTGGAGGGGACACTCATCTGAAAGCCATCTATTCTAATGGGCTAACAATGGGGACTCTGGGTGGCCCGATTGTTCCCTGCTGGGCTGAGAGTGGCCAGAGCAACCAACATCACCCCAGAGGGCTGTATTTGCCACCTCTATTCTAGCTGAAGACTTGGAGTTTTGCAAAGTCTGGCTGTATGTAAGTGATGCCCAGTGAAGACTCCAGCTTGGATTTTTTTCCTCTTTCTGTTCCACAGCACCGGATCATTTCACAAATAGCACGACTCAACCCCCAGACGACGGGTCCAATGGGGGCCTGGTGAGTTGGGACGGTGTAAGCAGGAAGAGCCAGGGTGTGAGAGACCAGAGTGCTGGGACAAGTGGAGAGACATTACTATTAAAAGGTGCTAGGCATATGCTCTACAATCAGGTTACACTCCAGCCCTAGTCCTGACTTTTGTTGTTGTTGTTAAATGGGGTCTAGTGTAGCTCAGGCTGGCCTCAAACTTCCTCTGTAGTCAGATGACCTTGGATTCGGGATCCTTCTGCCATTGTCATTGCTGAGTTAGCATGTGTTCATCGTCATGCTGGGTCTATGGGGTGCTGGGAGTCAAACCCAGAGTTTATGCATGCCAGGCAAGCACTCTACCCACAAAGCTACAGCAAAGGGACTTCTCTGTCCCAGACAGAAGGTAGCAAGACCTCTATATATAACATTGGATGAGAATATTGTGTCTTGCTGGGTGTGGTAACCCATACACTCCCAGGAGAGAGAGAAGCAGGTGGAGCTCCGAGTTCAAGGCCAGACTGATACACATGATGAATTCCAGTCTAGCCAGGGCTACTACGAGATCCTGTCTCAAAACCAAACACAAATAGCATCTTGCCTGGTGGGCATGGTGATACACACCTGTCACTCTAGCACTCTGGAGGCTGAAGCAGGAGGATTACCTCAAGACCAGTCTAGAGCCAGGCAGTAGTGGCGCACGCCTTTAAGTCCCAGCACTTGGGAGGCAGGTGGATTTCTGAGTTCGAGGCCAGCCTGGTCTATACAGAGAAACCCTGTCTCCAAAAACAAAACAAAAACAAAGACAAAAAGACCAGCCTGGAGTATAGATGAGACCATGTGACAATAAAAACTCTGAGTATGACGGCATGCACCTGTGTTCCCAGTACCAGCTTTGTGGAGGAGGAAGGAAGGAAGCTCAAGGTTATTCTTAGCTATATAGTAAGTTCAAGATTATAGGAGACTCTGAACAAACAACCCCACAAAAGACAGGAAAAAAAGGAAAACCAAGAGAGTTGTATCTGGCCAGAGGGATCCTCGTTCATAGTGTGGAAGGGACAGGACAGAGGTACTGGGTACCAGTGTGGGAAGTACTAAGGGAAGTTGTTTCTCAGTTTGAAAACAGCCCAGAAAGCAGACAAGGTGACAGGAGCCCTGGTGGGTGACTTGAGGGGTGACTCTGTGCAGTTGGTCACGTGTGTCCCCTCTCTTTACAGTCTTCAGAGGCTATTGTAGCCATCGCTGTGGTCTTTTCCATTCTGGGAGCCCTCCTCATAGCAGTGGGGCTGTTCCTGCTAGTGCAAAAACTTCGAGAAAAGCGGCAGACAGAGGGCACCTACCGGCCCAGCAGTGAGGAGCAGGTGGGTGCCCGTGCTCCACACCCCCCCAACCTCAAGCTGCCCCCGGAGGAGCGGCTCATCTGAACACAGGGGTGTCGGCCATAGGCCATCATCACTACCAACGCCCAGGACTGCCTTGGCACACTCTGACACACAGCAGTCGTCTTGGAGACACGCCGGCCTCTGATGACTCAGGAGGACTTGGGGTGGGGAACCCTGGGGTATCCAGCTGGTGGGCTATGCAGCATGCTGCCTTTGCTTGGCTCTGCATGAAACTGGGGGGTGCTGGGGCTGGGGGGCCTTACCACCTCACCATTTACCTCATATGATCTTGCCTCTGCTGTGTCTCCATACTGTGACTGCAGGTCCAACAAACCTCCTGTCCTTTCTTTCAGTTTTCCCACGCAGCAGCTGAGGCCCGGGCCCCCCAGGACTCCAAGGAGCCAGTGCGGGGCTGCCTGCCCATCTAGCTCCTTCCGTCCTTCCCTGTCATCCATCTTCCCTTCCTTGCTGTGTGACCTTGTGGGAAGGCGACACCCTCTCTGGGCAATCAGACTCACCCAATGCTTAAGAATAGAAGGGAAAAAAGTTCTTCAAAGATCTTGACTTTGAGGGCAAGGAGGATGGGACTGCTCACTTTTTATATATTTATATGAAATTGATAGGTACAATAAAGGTTTTTTTGCTTTTGTTTTTTTTTTTTTAGCTTGTGGGAACATTAGCTTAGATAAATGAGATTAAGAATTGAATTGTAAGCTCTTTGAAGTCCTGATGGGCTGGAAGTTAGAGTAAGATAAGAACTTTCAGGTGAACCTTAGAGATGCTTAGAGGCCGCTTGGAATGGTGGATGAGGTGCGTTTCTGGGCTGACAGAAAGCCCTAGATAAATTTATCAGGGAAAAAAACCCAGCTTTATTGAGAGTTGGGAGCCTCACACTCCTGATCTTAGTTTTCAAAACACTTCTTCAGATCAGCAACTCGAGGCTGCCTGTCCTGGGGCCCTTGCTGCTTGCTTACATGAGAGATGTAAGAAGTGGGGGTTCCCAGCTCCTTGAGGGGTTGTATAGGATCCTGGCCCAGCAGGATCTGGGGAGGCTGGTTTCTGGGGTTCTCTGCAGAAGTGGGGGAGCATGAGGGAGACGGAATAAGTTGTAATTTCTGAATAGCATCAGGGTTGGACTCTGTGGAGGCAAGAAGTTGGGGGCTTTTTGGAGGACTGGGCTGAGTGGGGGCTGTAAGGAGCCTGGAGCAAGGGCTTTGTGAGGGTCTAGGATCCGGCTCGCGGACAGAGGGCCTGAGGTCCCCTTGGCTGGAGGGCTCTGCTGAAGTGGCTGAAGATGTAGACAGAAAGGAGAGAGCTGAGGGTGACTGAGAACAGGAGTTCTTTGAGTAGCTTACAACCTCTGAAAATGAGGTGTCTTGCAGAAGTGACAGGTCACCAGGCAGGGACCAAGGCTGAGGATCCTGGGGTCTCTTGTCTTCTTCCAGTTGCCTTGGTGACCCGATTGGGATGTTAGGCTGGGCACAGCAGGATGGAGGGTATGGTTGATGTCAGGTGGGGAAGAAGCTGACAGGTGGGGAAGGGAGGAGGGGAGGAGGGGAGGAGGTTCTCACCAGGCTGGAGCAGCTCTCTGACGCCTCTTGCTGACAGCAGTCCAAACTCTGGCTGGCCCTCAGCTGGCCGCCACTCTTGGTTTCGACACTCAAACTGTCTAGAATCTCACTCAGCAGATCCAGCTCTTCTCCGGGCCCCAGAAAGCTGCCGTCTAGAGTGTCCTCTGCCCAGGGGTTCTGAGTGTCTCCAGGGCTCAAGGTGGGGATCCTGGATTGAAGATTGACATCCTGGGTTTTTGTCTCCAGAGTCTAGAAGACACCCCTTATTAGTTGTGACCCTTGCACCTCCAACTTTGATCTGCTTCAATTCTTACCTCTCTTGCAGGGGTTCAGAAGGCCCCCTCTCCATCTTGAGTCTCTTGCTAGGGCGGAGGGGCCTGTTCTGAAAAAGATAAGGGAGAAAGAAATGGACGGAGCCTGGGGAGCTGTTGAATCCAGGGCTGCTGGGGCTTTCCAGCTTGAATTGGAAAGAGCATTGGACAGGCCACTGCATGTCTGTCATCTCTGCATTTGAGCCTGAGGCAGGAGGATCATTGCAAGTTCAAGTCCTTGCTGGCTATATAGTGAGATTCCTCTAAAAACAAAACAGCTGGGGTGGATATCTGAGTTCTAGACCAGTTTGGTTTAAAAAAAAAAAAAAAGCTCCCAATCAGGGGGTTGGGAGAATGTAATTTGGTTGGTACAGAGCTTGCCTAGCATGCACAGTGCCCTGGGTTTGATTCCTAGCACCATTTAAACTGGGTGTGGTGGATCAGGAGTTCAAACCCATCCTTGGCTGTATAGTGAATGAACTACATTTGAACTAGATAGTTTGGTGAAAACTGGGGACATGCAGGATTTGGGAAGAATCTGGTATGTGTGGTGGATGATGGGCATCCTCACTCTGTGTGTGTGTGTGTGTGTGTGTGTGTGTGTGTGTGTGTGTGGGACAGTGGGGATCCTCACCTGTCCGAAGTGATGGCTGATAGGCAGGCGCTGTTGGAGACAGTCTGAGCGGCTGGTGAGGCTTGAGGCTCTCAGGGAGCCCCCCCTCTTCAGGCCAGAGTCTCCATCCTGTGAAAGGATTCACATGTGGGCTGGGGTACCACCTCCACTCCGCTGAATTATCTGTGGCTGAGGAATCACCCTGGGTGGTCTTACCTTCATCATGAGCAGGCTCTGCATACCCTTCAAGCCACTCCTTGCCTATGGATGACCCAATACATTATTAGACACAACTGTTTCCTACCACCCACTCCACATTTGTATCTTCCATGCTATGTTTATACTTTTGATATTCCTGGAGGGAGTCACCCTGCCATAAACCAAAGATTTGACCACTGTGTGTAGGATTAAAATCAAATGGACAGATCTGAAATGTAAAACCTGGTCTGAAAGAACCCTCACCCCCACCCCAATCAAGCATGGAAGCTAAGTAACAAAAGGTAGTCAATGGATCTTGGCTGTCAGAGTTTGTGTGTGTGTTTAATTTTATTTATGTATTTTATTTGGGGGAGAGGGAACATTAGTCGTGGCACAGGTGTGGAGGGTGGAGTACAATTTGGGGAGTTGGTTCTCTCATGCAGATTCTAGGGATTAAACTCGACTTGTCAAGTTTGACAGCAAGAAACAAAAGTACTTGCTGCTCTTGCAGAGAGCTCAGGTTCATGTCACAGCATCCATCTCTGCAGTGACAATCCTGGAACATGGTTTCTTTAAAAGCACAGAAATCTAAGAGTTTTCATTTTAACCCCAGGTGTGGGGATATGAGACTGTTCTCAGCAGCTGACTATGATTTGTCTCATGCTCTAGCAGAGGTATGGTTTTGCCAGCTGCAGATGGTTTCTGTGAGTATGCAATAGCTGTAATTCTGGGAGCTTTTTAGAGGTTATATATAAATGCTAGGGGTCTGAGAGGCAGGGGTTGATTACAGTTTGTAAGTAGTCATTCTCAAAGAACAAAAGGAAAGACAGTAGATTCAAGACTCTCTCTTCTCTTTACTCTTTCTCTCCCATCTAGTGACAGAGTGTAAAACCTGGGGTAGAATAAAGGGTGAGAAAAACCACAAAGCAGCAAAGACCAGCTTCACAGTTGGTCATAACTGCCACAATCTACAGTTCCAGGTGAGCCAATAACCTCTTCTGGCCTCTACACTCAAGGTGCTACAAGCAGGCCAGTAGGCACACCCACTAACGCAACACACAAACACACTAAAAAGAGAAAATAGCAAACGAAAACAGCATACGGAAAGATGTTAATATTTTAAGTGGCTATTTAACGTCTGCTGTGAATACTCAAGACATAATCTCTGTTAGGCTAGAGAGAAGGGTCAGTCAGTTAAATTCCCTCCACAGAAAAAGTTGGGCGTGGTACATGCCTGTAACCTTAGAGCTGGGAGAGGAAGATCCTTGAGCACTGGCCAGCCAGGCTAGCCTAGTTAGTGAGTCCAAAGACTCTGGGTGAAAGTGATCTCACTAAGCCTGACAACTTGAGTTTGCTTGATTCCCATGTTTGGGACACACGTGGTAAAAGGACGCAACCAACTTTTTTGTTGTTTTTCGAATACGGAGTTTTGGTGTGTGGCCCTGGCTGTCCTGGAACTCGCTATGTAGACTAGGCTGGAAATCTGCCTGCCAGTGCCTCAGAGTGCTGGGATTAAAAACATGAACAATCAGCTTCTGTAAGTTGTCCTCTGACCTCCACACATGCACTGTGGCACAAACACATAACTAAAACAAATAAATGTATTTCCCCCTTCCCTAAAACTCTCCAAAGTTGATGGATATGGTGGGGAACAATTCCAACATTCAGGAGGCAGAGCCAGGTGCATTTCTGAGTTCAACCAACCAGGGCCACATATGGAGTCTCTCTCGCTCTCAAAAACAAAACAAAACAAACCCAAGATGGATAGTACATAGCAATGCCAACTCCTGGCTTCTACATGTACAGGCACACGTGCACGTAAACACATAGAACACAGACTCTATGCCCCTTTCCTGTGGTCACCCAAGCCACTGTGAGCCACAAGGCCCAGTCTCACCGATCGGTACAGGTTCCTGACGGCTGGTCGGGTTTTAGCCTTCATTGAATGCAGGAGTGCATCGCTACCTTTCTGTAAGGGGTTGGGTGGAAAAAAAAAAACACCAAATGGGAGAAACTTGAGCTTCTGAGGTCGCCAGGTCCGGACCCCACGCTCCACTTCCCACCTCAGGTTGCCTTCTGCTGGGTAGCCTTCTCCCTCTCTGTGCCTCCAGTTTTAACCAAGCCCTTTCTTGAGGGGTGTGGTAAGCTGTAAGGTGATGAAGTTGGTTATAAATAGGAACAGGGGATTGCTTTCATTACCTTAAGACTATCTACCCAGAGCTGGTAGGACCGAAGGGTGCCTAGGAGGAAGGGAGAGAGCTGTGGTTACTAAGGCAGGCCTAGGCTTGGGAAACTGGTGGGGTGAGAGCCGGGGCTCACCTGAGGAAGCTCCACAACAGGCAACGATCTCTTGCTCAAATTGGTCTGAGAAACCTTCTCCAGCATTGAGTTTTTCCAGTCGGGATTCGATGAACTTGGGGTAGAGAGGGTCAAACTCAAGTACATGCTGTTCCCTAAAGACTTGGAAGCCAGCCTGCCAGGGCCCTCAAATCAGGAAACCATTCTAGAAACTAGGCATCCAACTTGGCCCTATCTCCAGGGACCCGCAGCCTATCCTTATTCCTCACCTTAGGCCCAGCCGCCAGGGACTAGCACCCCATCCCTTACTTTTCACCTTAGACACTGCCCCCGGGACCGCCCCCAGGACCGCCCCCGGAGTGCTCACCTGCTTGAACAGCTGCAAGTGTACCGCCTTTTTGTGGAATGTCTGCAGGGGCGCCCCGGGCTTCTGAGCCAAGAAAGCTTCCTCACTGAATGTCACTGGCTGACCCTGGAAAAAGGATTCCTTCCAGAGTTTCCTTGGGTTCTCCTTTCTCCTATCTTCTTCCTTCCAACTTTATAGCTACCTAGCAAGCACTAATTGGGTGCCTACTGTGTACCTGATCCTGTGCAGGACCTCATGGAACATCTCACCTATAATGTGGCTGTCAGCATTAAATAATGTTGATAGTGTAAGGGGCTACTGTAGGGAGATTGCTGCTGGTTACATAATAAGCTCCAGGGCAGCCTGGGCTACAAAGACCCAGTCTCAATAAAAAAAAATCAGGAGATCCAGGAGTTCAAAGTCAAAACATATTGAGTTTGAGGCCAGCCTAGGCTACCTGAGACCCTAAATGTTGTGATTTATCCCTTGAGAGGCCTGCCCCTCTCCTCCTCCTCCATCTGCTCACCGGGATGCAGACAAGGGCGTCACGGTACCCTCCAAAGAGCAGGGCCTGGGCTTTGAGGAAGAGACGGGACACCCCTTCCCCGGGGCTCAGTGCAACCTTCCTTAGCTGAAGCCTCAGCAGGGATACCTGAGGACACAGGAGAGACCCGGAGTTGGGCAGAGATGGAGGCTCCATCTTGAGGAGCAAGGGTGGGAGGTGTGGCACTGACCACATCTGGCGGCAGAGCTTGCACGTCGTCGAAGGGTGTCTCCAGGGTGTTAGAGTCTGCGTTCAACACTACAACATCTTCCAGGGCTTTCTCTCGAACTCTCTGCAGGAGACAAACATGAGCTGTCATTCGGACCCCCGTATAGAGGCAGGACTCTGAGTAACTGGAGGGAGAGGGAATATCCCCCTTCCCCCCTGCCCCCGCTCCAGCCTTGGGGTGTTTCAGCATTTACCTCAGCGAGACTGCCATGGACTCCTATGAGGTAGGGCATAGGCGCGCTGTGGAGAGGGCACAGACTGGAGAGGCAGATGCATACCTCAAACCCCCAAGTCTTTCATCTGTGCCTGCTGCATGTAGCCCAGGCTAGCCCGGGACTCTTTATTTTCTTTTTCTGATAGGGACTCACTGTAGGCCTGGGACATAAAGAGATCCTCCTGCCTTTGTCTCACATGTGCTAAGATTAAAGGCTAACGACACTCCAGGCTTTCTCATTGCCTTCCCTTCCTCATCCCCCCACCTCCTCTTTTCTCACCAGCAGTAATCCAGCAGGTGCGGGGGTAGTGTGGGGATCAAAACATGCTCCCATCGCATGGGGTAGAGCAGAGCGCAGGATGCGTGAACACAGGCTGTTAGCTGGCGAGTGAGAAGGGCAATAAGTTGGGTGCTTAGCCCTCCCTGATCTGTCTCCTCCTGCTGGGGAACTGGGTGGAATTCAGACCTCCTTAGGAAGGAAGTGGAGACCAGGATTTTGGCCAGTTACAGCTCCATGTGTTCAGATAAAAAATAACTCTGAACTTTATGTGGTGGGTTCTGACCTGTAATCTTAGCACTCAGGAGGCAGAGGCAGATCTCAGAGTTCAAGGCCAGCCTGGTCTACAGAGTGAGTTCTAGGACAGGCAGGGCTACATAGAGAAACCCTGTCTTGAAGCCACAACAAACAAAACCAAACCAAAACAGCCAACCACACAGAAACACACTTCAGGAGCAAGAGAGATGGCTCAATGGTTACAGCATTGGCTGCTCCTGTACAGGTCCTGAGTTCAGCTCTGAGCAACAACATGGTGGCTCACAACTGCTTTAACTCTAGCTCCAGGGGATCCTCTCTTTGGGCACCCACATACACATATACACATTAAAAAAAACCTTTATACTGTATAACACAAAAGTGGAACTAGAAATAAAAAATAATGTTTATTTATTTGTAAGTTTGCATGTGTGTGCTCACTTGTGCAGATTTGAAGAACCACATGTAGGAGTTGAGTCTGTTTTACCACCATGTATGTCCTGGGTATTGAACTCAGGTCCTCAAAATTTGGCTGTAGGTACCTTGTTCACTGAGCTATCTCACTGGCCCTAGAATCTTTTAAAATGTATTTTTCTTATCTATCTATCTATCTATCTATCTATCTATCTATCTATCTATCTATCTATCTATGATCTATCTATCTATCTATGATCTATCTATCTATGATCTATCTATCTATCTATCTATCTATGATCTATCTATCTATCTATGATCTATCTATCTATGATCTATCTATCTATCTATCTATGATCTATCTATGATCTATCTATCTATGATCTATCTATCTATGATCTATCTATCTATCTATCTATCTATGATCTATCTATCTATCTATGATCTATCTATCTATGATCTATCTATCTATCTATCTATGATCTATCTATGATCTATCTATCTATGATCTATCTATCTATGATCTATCTATCTATCTATCTATCTATCTATCTATCTATCTATCATCATTCATTCATTGAGACCTGGTAGGTCACATGTATCAGGCTGACCTCAAACTAGGTAACTCAGGGTGACCTCCCTGAACTTCTGATCCTGCCCTACGCTGTCAGTGCTGGGATTCCAGGTGTGTATCACCAATATGCTTGCCAGGGCCTGGTTTATGCCAAGTTGGGAATGGAACCAGGGCCTCATGCTTGCTGGGCAAGCGCTCTACCCACTGAGCTAAGGCCCCAGCTGGAAAGTTTAACAACCTCTTTCAGAGGGGCAGAGCTAGGCCAGGTCTGGTCCTCGGTGGATGAACCTGTACGAGATTGTGCTACCAATAAGTTGGAGCCATTGTGCAACCTCCTCAGATTGTTCCCACGGGGTGGAACCGAGTGAAGCGGGCTTAGAAGTGTCCCTTCCCCAGGGAAGGAGGTCCCATCTCACAGTGCTGAGCTTGCTGGCAGTAAGCAAGACCCTCCTTTCAGCTAGCAGCGCTGCGAAGAGCCCCACGATGTTCTCATCTGTCACAGCAACCACCAGCTCAGTGAGGTTCCTCTGAGGGATGAAGAGGTACAACGGCTGGGTGTGGGGCAAACAGCCAAGATTTGTGGTCCCACCCACCTTCTGTAGTTTCTCCTTACATTCTCAGGAATAGATGGCAGGTCGGCAGCATCCGGAGCCACAAAACAAGAAAGCTAGTGGGGATATGGGGGCAATTCAGTCTGCATGGTGGCAGTGACCTCCACTGCGGCCTGAGGGACCTCATCTCCACTCACCAGCTTGCTATTCCCCAGGACAGGAGGCACGATCCCAGATTCACTCCAGATGGTGATGTTGCCATCCTGGGGGACAGAAGTAACTGTGGTTCCCCAGGCTGGCTCTCAGCCTTTATTGCCAACAAGAAGCCTGCATCAAAGACCTGGGAGCTACTCACCATCTCTGGTCCCCCTGAAAACCGGGATCCAAAAGGTGGGTGTTGCTGCAGGTTTTGTAGGAGTTCTTCAGCCTCGCTGACCTGAGGAACGCAGAAGGAGTTAGTGCTGGAGGGATGATTTGGGATTTTGAGGGTCTCTCTCTGAATGAGGTGAGACCTGGCACATCAGGGAGGTGATGGAGAGGGTGGGGTGAGGACTGAAGGTGGGGTTAGTCTCACTTGGTTCTGGGCTAGGAGGTCCCCCACAGTATTGAGAATCTTGTAGAACACTTCAAACCAGGGAAAGTGGCTGGAGAGAGAGAGAGAGAGAGAGAGAGAGAGAGAGAGAGAGAGAGAGAGAGA